TGTCTTCTAAGTATAGCGAACTCCCATGTGACAACAAAATCCGGCACGAGGGCTGAGGTCATGGGGCTAGAAATCGGAAAATTTTGATTTTGAAATGAACACAATGCACGAAGGAACGTTTGCTGATGCCTGAAATTTTACGAATGAAGGCGCGGAGAATTAACATGCGCAAGCTCAGGATAAATGGGATACTGCTCGAAGTTAGTAAATTGTCGGAGTGATTTACTTTACATTTCAGCAAGTATAAGAGTCATTAGGTGCGTGAATGACCTTATATACCCTTTAATTCAGCTGGCTTTGCGTCTGGAAGGCGACACTTCATGACCTAATTGAGGCCAGGTAATGATCAGAGAGCATGCGCGCGGGAGAGACGCAGACTGCGTGGCCGTGCGAGCGGCCTTAATTACATCACAAAGCCCCGCCCCCCAGCCGTCAAGCCAGTTGAATCAAAGGTTAGGTATTGTCTGAAAAAGGGCAATATATTCTGAAATCCATCAAAATTGAAAAGTTCAATATCTTCTCTTTCTTGAGAAATTTTCAGTTATTCTCCAAGTGTCCCATTTCTCACCGCTCACTCTAATACATCCCCGACGTGATACTTTGTGAAGAGTAAGTAGTAATGACAGCAATGTCAAGCGTAACTCAGACCTCCTCTACCAGTCCCCCTCCCTCACCCTCTCCGGCCCTGACTCCAACTAGGGTTAAACTAACGGTGGTACGGTTGTGAACCCAGAGGAACAGAAAAAATCTGAAAGGTGGGGGGAAATCCATTGAGGAATATAACGAATAAAAATTACTAAATCATTGGATTTTATTTGCAAAATCGGAACTCTATAATGAATCTTACAGATACGGTAACGAATGGATACCCCATTGTGAATAATTTACCAGATGATTCTTCTGTGCAAGGTTTTAGCTTCTTATATACTCGGGCTTTGAAGTTTAAGCAAAAATCTTGCTGGTCTACCAATCGTGCGAGTTGAGTGCCACTTTCGTAGTCAACATCTGAGATAAATTCAATAAACACATGATTCCTTTATTTCATTTAAAATCTCAAAAGCTAAAATCACCAGAGCTAAAAAATGAGGTATTCTAAAGATGCGTTACATAATAATTTTCAATGCGTAGATATCGTTGAGATATACTGTGATATACATACGCGACCAATCTTCGTGAGCGAAATACTAACAAGAAAGGATACCAACATTAGTTGGCAGTTAAAGATGAGATGTATATCATTGGATGCGCCTTTGAACGCTGATTCCAAATCTGCTTTCCTTTTTTTGCGGAATAAGTTTCGGAAAGAAGTTATAAGCGTTTGAATGCCCAGATTTTCAAACATTGAGTGGCTTAAAAACAGCGGAAAGCTCTAAAACAACACCTATGCAATATCCACCGGCTTTGTTCCTTTCTTGCAAACAATATACTCAATACGAAAATGATTTTCCACTTTCCGGTGTTCTTGTACAGCTTTTCGCCAATTTTAGGCCACCTAAACCTTGACATATTTGGACATTTGAACGCCCACAACTTCTTTCGGAGACCTACTCCGCAAAAAAGAAAAGCAGATTTGGAATCAGCGTTCAAAGGCGCGTCTACCGATAATTCAATCGCCGACTAATGTTGGTATACTTCCCTTGTAAGATGCATTGCAAAAGTAGATTCTCCATTTTTGAATTTTTTCCATCTAATCTTTAAAATGTGCTCAGTCAGGAGCTGTGTTATAGAGCTTGCAAATGTATTAAAATAACGTATTCAAGCTCGTAGGAAAGTGTGAAATGGGCGTGTTAACCAATCAGTTATCTAAAGTAATACGATTGGCTTCTGAATTCAATCAACCAATTGCCGCGGAGATGGGCGGAGGCAGAGAACGGGATGCAACGACCAATCACAGCTGTGCGTCTGGCATTGCTCGCCCATTCCGCGCTTTGCTAGGTTCCAAAAAAGGACATTCAAACATTTTTGCAGTCTTGAAGGCCGGATATATCAAGTTTAGAAAACTCGAGGAAGAACCCAAAGTCACAAGTCAGCCGGGAAAATGCCTCTGCACTCATCGAGGGACCGTGTGACTTGAAAACTTTGCCTTCACCTTTTTCATCTACCTTTGCAAAAAAACTTCTTGCGTCTTGTGTCGGTCTCAGCTCAAAACCCATAGTATGAAAAAACTCATTAAACCTCCCTTCTTCAACATTGAGATTGCAATAAAAACTTCCCCTCGAAAATCTCCAACGCATGAGTTAGCTAAAACGTTTGCACTTCGTTGAAGTATCATCAGACACCAACCTTGAACGCAACTACGAAAAAAATCAACAAAGGAGCAGTAAGGTCGATTCTTCCAGTCTGGTGGAATCATTAGGAAAGCGAAAACTTTTTTTCATATCAACGTTAGCGTTCACCTTTAACGACGCAGTGAATTCTGCGTTTTAGAGAAGTCGTGTAAATTTTGTTAGAATTGGATTGATCAATTACGAATTTATTAAACTGTTCGAAAAAAAAAACAAATATCGTCACTGCTAGAAGCATGCTGAAAAAAAACATGTAATAAAATATCCTTATCAAACTAGAAATGATTTTTTATAGAAATATGTGACACATCAGCGTTTGCTCAATCTGTTTCAACCGTAAACTTCTCGTCTAACCGATATTCACCACTTTCACGGTCTTCGGTTTGATCAAATCGGCATCATCGATTGATGGTCGGCACGCAAGGTCCTAGCGACGCGGATACATTGGCGTACACGAAAGGGACTCTATGAACGAGACGCACTGTAAACATATTTTTTTGGATCAAGAAGCAAGGAATTTCTCTAGTTTAACTTTCTGTAAGAAAAATTTCCAAGTACATCCTGTTCATGAACATTTCTGGTTTCGTGTCAAAAATACATCTATTCACTAGCTGACATAAGCTGAATTTTGCATAAGTTAGCTACAAAATTTTTTCTACCTGTTCTAGCACAGGAAGAAAATGTGATAAAGATATTAAAGGCAGTGTCCGGGCAAAAAGTCGATTTTGAGATTTTGTGCTTTCCTGGGCCTATTCGCCACGCTGAATTCGAAAATCCACACTGGAAAGCACAAAAACTTCGAAAAAGGGCTCTAACGCAGGAGGGAAATCAGAAGTGGGCGGGGTCTTCCATAAAGTGAATTCACGGTCCCGGCTTCCGGAGCGATCTTCTCAATTCCGCGAGCCACCCTGACATCTCCACAAGCCTAGTGCGGATGCGTGACCCGAAACCGGAGCCGAGAATATTACTCCGGGACCTGGGACCGTGAACTCACAGTGGGGAGGATCCCGCCCACTTCTGATTTCCCTCCTGCGTTAGAGCCCTTCTTCGCCGTTTTCGCGCTCTCTAGTGTGGATTTTCGGATTCAGCATAGCGAATAGGCCCCGGTAAGCACAAAATCTCAAAATCGAGTTTTTGCCCGGACACTGCCTTTAAGATGGTTTGCTGTTGTATTCTACGTTCACGCTAGGAACCCTCGGATTCTTTATTTTGACTTTCCACTCAAGAGTCTTGTCTCTCGCCGAATAAAAAAGAACAGAATAGGAAGAGGATGCATAACCGGTCCATACACTCAGGTTTCCGAACTGGCTGCAGCATAAGAGCAATATTTTCACCGCAATCTTTTTAAGCTCATCCATGCGTGTAATACTACAGAGTATACTAGCAACAGAAAATTGTAAAAATTTTGCAAAGAAAATTTGATGTGGTGTCTCGTTTTCCGTGCGTGCAATTTTTCCAGAAATTTGGCTAGTTCTACCTCAGCCTTTTTTTGAGACATTCAGATTGTAATTTCGTACATGACCGTTCTTTGTAACTATGGCACTATTTCTTTCGAGGAATTTCAAGATGTGAATCGTTCCATATAGCTGTAGCTTCATGCGCACTTTGTGTATTTCATTTGAGTCAGTGCCTGAATTCCGTCAAAATGAAATGATGAATCATTCTTGCCCCCAAAAGGACTGTTGTTTTGCTCGTTTTCGGGCTCCAGTGTTCACATGTAGCTTCACAACAGCCTCCACTTGGAAATATGCAACGCTGGGTAAGTTTCCCATTGTGAAAATGCACCTCTTGCAGGCAAATTTTCGTACTTGTTCGTTTCATCTATAATGTCACGTCTTCTCAAGAAGCTAGGCCTGTTTCGATCCAGGAATCATTGATGTCTTTTTAAATGATTTCGCCTTATGTTGAGAGCATACCACAAAAATTCATGGATGAATGCGACATACGTTTTCTTAGCAGTTTCCCATCAATCACTTCTCTACTCCCAAGTTGAATCCTAGAAAAAAAAGCCATCGACGTTTGCATTCGACATCAAATTCTAAAAAGGAGAGTTTGAGGCACATAGTCGAGTCGTTTCGTAAGTTTACATGTGCAACTGCACACCATACGCACACTACGCCAAAAATCCACGATTTTTAGGACTGCGGACGCGCGTCGTTCCGGTGAGCTTTATCCCAATTTGATTCTTTTTCTTTTGTTGTAGGAACACAGAAATGCCAATGAATTCCAGGAATAAACGTATAGGGTAAATGGTGCAATTACACATACTTTTAACGAAAGGTCTTGAGTATAAATACTACCATGTTGATCTGAAGTGTGTTAGGCAAAGTACAAAAAATCTTATTTCATTGTCAACCTTCGCTCAGATTATAATACTGAACTAACCTCCATGTATTTTGCTAGACTTACCCCATACATGAGCTCAAACTTTTGTGAAGTCGTCTATCCATGCCCTCTATGCAAATCATCCCGTCAAAAAATACGCAAGTACGACAAACACAAGAGCGACGGACCATTAAGATGTGGATCCTTTGACATTAAGTGACCCGTAACCTTTCCGCCTAATGAGTTAGAGGTCACTAATGGCCATGGCAGCCGAGCATTAGGCGGCTGTCTTTTGAGATCTCTAATCAGCATGGGAATCCTCCATTCATAGTACAAATATCTTCGTCTGAGACCCCACACCAAGGACTTGAGAGTTTGATTATGACTTTTGTTTGATTTTTATTTCTTTCAGAAATGTGTAAAACATATACAACGAATAAATAGAAAGAATTGTGACATCCTGTGAGGAAGATGTGAGTTGCATAGAGGAGTGATCCTATCACACTTTTGTAGCAGGGTACTCATCAGAATGTATAAAACGGTACATGTTACAAAGACAGAGAATAATACCCAGCATAGGGGAGAGTGGGGCAGGTTCGAGAGAAAGAGTACGAAAGGGATGCTTGAGAGCGCCTTTTGAGGCAATATTCGATGAGGAAAATCATATGTGTGGGATGAAAGTGAGTTACTGGGGCGGTGATCAATGGAGGCACCACGGGATAACCGAACACAGAAAAACGAGAACGTTATCCCTGTCCTACACAACCGATACATACAAAAAACAACAATAATAATAATCCAGTATACAACAACATGTGAAACATCAATTCTCCATCTATGAATAAAACGTAAAAACGTACACGAGGGCGATAAAAATGCACAATGAGCATAAATAGCGAAAGCAAGTTAAATAGCAGTGGTGGAAGTATGATATAAAACATGTTAGCGACCCGCAAGTAATGTAGTAATGTGTATAAAACAAAACATTCTGCATCTGAACCTAGGTAAAACTCAAGAATGAAAAAACTGATGAAACGAAAGAACGCACACTATAAGGGATTCTTCTTTTGATATATGTCTGGAGAATACTTTTCACCGAGATAATGTTTGGCTACAGATCATACGGAGGAATGGGATGAGCATTGTTGAAATGTGGAACTCATGAAGTGAAACGTGGTTCCCAGTTACCCTGCAAGAAATGTGGACTTAGTCATCTCATGATAAGCTGACTAAAATACCGCTCATAAATCGTCAAAAAAAAACCACCGAATTCCACTGGAGTTCACCAAAATTAGCGGCGCGTCGACAATTCCTTCAAGCGGATGAATTTTGAATTCAAGGGATTTCGACTCTGCTTGGCGAGGCGCATCTTTGATATATAGAAGTTTCCGTTTGATAACGGAAGGCGCACGGTGGGCGTTCAGATTTCAGATTTTTGCTTACAGTAGGCTACTCAGTGTGCTTATCAACTGAACACTAGGTGACGTACAGCAGGCGAAAATTTGTGAGATCTGGGAGCTACCGTATCCGAACGGGCACTTCTATCTATTAGAAAATGCAACTCGCCAAGCTGAGTCGAACGGTATCCCCGAATTCGGTTGGTCCACTTTAGACCAAGATGCGGCGATGCGACGCGCATTTCGGTAGACTCCGGTAAAGTTCGGTATTTATTGGAATTCTGCGCGGTAATGTATACAAGGACGAAAATCGCAAACCTACGTTCTGTTGTCGTTCCGTTTCCGGTATTGATCCGAGTGATTCAAGAGTTACAACAGATACCGTATCTTTTTCATCCTCGTAGATCCTGATCTCATCAAATGGTGCAGCATTTTGATCGGATTCGAGATCGTGCAATTGTGATCGCAACCTGTCGTCTGCAAAAAGAAAAGAAATCACTTCAATCTTTGCCCAAAATCATTTCAATCCATCTCTTACAAAACGATGACGCACCAATGGGTGGCCGAGTGTACACCGGTGCCGGAGGTCCCAGAGACAAACCGTTGCCTTCGATGGGCATAACTGGTTTTCGGAGATTCGCAATAGAATACTGATCGTTATCGGCTTCACCTCCGCCTTCGATAGCATACGGTCGGAGGTTGTCGCGATTGAGATCTTCTGGTCGAACAGATTCGAATGGAGTCGCTTGTCTACGAGCGTAGACGAGCATGAGCATAACAAGCACTAAAAAGTTGATTATGCAATGAGTAAACCGCCCAGGTCATCCTGAAAACAGGGTTAAAGACACAGTCCAGCGAAACCTGAGGTCGTGAGATTTTGAAGCATTCACAAGCTAAGCCACTGACTAATTGACTGCCCGAAGTCCCGCTGTAAACAGTGTATCCGAAGCGAAGGAATCGCTTCAAAAAATGGAATCTGCTTGGGACGCCGCACCCATCCACATGGTGGTCTTGTGCCAGCCGTATGCGTTGCGTAGGTCAAATCGAACTCTATATTTACGTTACAATGATATCTGAGAAATTGGAAAAAACGCTAGGAGCTCGGTATGCCCTAATTCTTACTGTTCCACACCATTTTCATTACAGTGAAGAACATATCGCTTCAAAAAATAAGACTTTGTGCGTGGCATACTGACAACCGCAGGAGTACAGTAGTTTCGGGTCCATTACGTTTCGACCACCCAGATTGTGGGCGTGGTGGCCCCAGCAGCACTCACCTTCTGCATCGACTTTCTCGCTTTAGGATATACCTTTTATAGCGCGACTTAAGAAGTTACTTAGATAGAGCTCGCTATTGTACTTTATCAAGATCTACCAACCTCAGATTTGGGTGCATCGTGCTTTTAACATAGAGGCTTTATTCATGTAAACTTACTAATGAGCAGTACTAATGAGATGAGGATTAGTATGATGGCGTTGTTACTGATCCCCAGTTTTGCTACAGCTAACGTTTCACCGCATCCAATGATCTAAAGCAAATAATTTGGTAAAAATTCAAAAATACTTAAGGCATGAAATGGATGGAAACAAAAGACGAACGAAATGCTTACTTGTCCATCATCACCAAGTATAACATTCGCGCCTTCAGGGCAAGTACAGAATGCTCCCTTCCAGAAATCCATACAAACCATTGTACCACTACAGTAGCCGACAGGCAGTTGCGCACATGTTATTAATAATGCGCATCCTGAGAAGACAAATTAATAAATACTGCTCAGATTTCAACAGACAGATAGATAGCATAAGAAGCAAAATTGAAATATATTGCGTACCATCAGACACTCCCTCGGACTTTGTGATGGAAACAATGCTTTCATCATCAGGGTCAATGGCTTGATTGGTCGGCCGTCGTAATGGAAGATTTTGACCAGACCAGCGGTATGTTCCAACACATCCCTGAGAAAGACGTAGTTCATATTCTTCGATTCAAAAATGAAAAACAACAACAAAGGTTTCTCAAAGCAGGATGGCAATACAAACCTGGAATCCCCTTCCTCCACTATGGGTGCCGAGGAATAAGTCACTGACTTGCAAAGCAAATGACTGTGAGCTACCAGCTGGATCTAGCACTTGTGACGTGTAGTACGCGTCGTCGATAGATAGCGACGCTCTAAAAAAAGGAACATCTTTCTCAAATTTTTGGGACATTCCGGCACGTCATTTTTTTCATTACTTCCGCCGGCCTGCTTTATAAAAAGTCGTTTCTTATCTAGCATTTTTTGCCGAAGATTATAAAAACAATGTTTATCTGCTAGTCAGACGAATGTTCATAAATTTTCGGGCAATGAACAAACCAAGAAAAAAAACAACGCAAGAAAGTGATAATGATCAAAAAGGTACCTAGTAGGATTCCTTGTGAAGTGCATCCAGTACGAAGAATTTTCTTTTAGTGAAAGTTCATTTATCCTCAGTTGAGTTAGAGAATTACGCACACCTCCCAGATCAAATTTAGCCATTGGAGTCAATCCATCAGATGTCATTTCGGCCGATGTAGAGACATAATTCTGAAAAGAAAACGAACTTATTGATATATATGCTAAATAGTCATTTTTTCCAACTCAGAACATAATTCTAAGAACTTCTGCTCAAAAAAGTTGAAAAATTCTTGGAAGATGGTCTCACCTGTGACTTGTCCGCTCCATAAGTAAGCTCTGCAGCTCCACTGACCCTACCGGGAATGAACAGCAATTCAATGTCATTAGTTTGTTCGGCGAAGGCAACTTTCGGTGAATATCCAATGTAACCACCCGACTGCATTTGAATCCATTCTATCTTTTTCTCGCAACGCGGACCTCCCCACCCAGGATCGCAAATGCACTTAGGCACCATTGGTGTGCTACCCTACAACAAATAATCGTATTTTTTCTCAGCTTACTGACGGAAATGTCCTCTACCTGTACGTCAGCATAACAATCTCCATGCACACAATGAGTTAGGCTGTCAATGGCATTGCTATCACATGCTCCACCCCAGAGTTTGCAACCAGCTGCGGAATTCTTTTCGTACGACGGTGTTGCAAGGTCGTACTGGTCATCATTCACTCGTAAGTTACGAATGCAGCCGTTCAGACTCGTGTGAGGAATGGCCGTTGGATAGGCTTGACCTCCAGAAAGGGGAGCGATGCCTCCGATTTGTATGGGTGCAACAATGTTCAATCGTTCATCATCGTCAGGTGTGTAGACAGATTTTCGGCAAGACAAATCGTCCGAACCAGCTCCAAGGAAACGGCATTGATCAACGACGAGTTCGATGTACTGAAATCGAAGTTGTATGGAATGAAACTCAGTTCTGCGATTCACATTTTGAAGAAAATACGTCGATGTTGCCTTTTGAAATGGTTTGAATACTGTCTTGGAGGGCATGAAACACTAACTCCAAATCTGTCTTTTTCATTTGCGGAGAATTCATGGACTAGGAATCATGCGTTTATTTAAGCAAAAAATAGAAATCAGTTGCTAAAATTTTGTTAGACTTTGGAAGAGCGTTCGCTCGGACCCGCCACGGTTTCCCGCTATTGGAAGATTTTTGGATTGAGCTAACGATTCCTTATATATTAGACTAGTGAGGCAGTGAGGTATGGGTATATTTCATTTAGAAATGCATTGATAAAATGCTCTGATGAACTGAAATTACGACTACTTTCAAAATACTTGCACAGTCTTTTTCTCTGCAAATGCTCGTAATTTCTCGTGCAGGAATGCAGCGCAGATAAAGAAGGCAGCTTTAGAATCAATGTTTGGTTCGAAAAGTGGCATACACCTCATCTAGCCACTCCGACTAATCACCTTTTCCTTGTAAGACGCATTTTCTCATCAAAAAGTAACACTTTGACATCAGAAATGGAGAAGCCGTGTGCTTTCAAAAAAGAAGTATCTACACCTAGTTCGTGCACGAAATCAAACAAGAGAGGCTGACTCTCTTCTAGAAAATATTAAGCAAGATGTCTTAGGCAAACTTTAGAATCCCCAAACAAACAACGAATAGTTTTTGATCTGAACCGCGATGCAAAAAAGGTTTCCCAACAAACTACGCAACATAATGGAATTACTAGAAAACTGCTGACTGTCTAATACACCAAACATCCTCAAAAACTGACCTTTCCAATCTGCGTTACCGCTAATTCGTGCCATGTTCCGTCGTTCAATGCAGTGGATGCAACTTCAAGGCTAACCGGTGCTATACCATTCATAGACATCTAGATTGAATTCGATTATGACTTGATGGCACAGGAAAGCAAAAAGTTGGGAAGTACAATTTCAAAGCAAAAAAGTACCTCCAAAGCAAGGCGGCCATTCTTCAGTTGAATGATGATGTAATCGCGATAATCAATTTGGAAATCGCTGTTCTTCGTATCCATGGGTCCATTGTAGAATAGCACAGCATCAGGTTGTCTTAAGTTATGCACGTTAGATTCCAAAAACTCGAATAAATTATTGACAACGAACTATGTATAAGTGTTAACCTTGTGGATAAAAAGCACTTTCTGCAGATAAAGTCAAGAAGACAAAGAAAAACCAAATTAAAATTGGTGCTCACAAAGTCATGAAGCCCATACTGATGTTGAGGCTAGTACATGCTGGCATGGGCTTGTACCAGGCAAATCCATCCCCAGAGAACGACCTCGTTGTTCCTTGACATCTCGATCCTTTCAATAGATCGTTGCGGCACTCACAGCTAGAAAAAAAAACGCGTTGAGTACTCTTGACAACATTTCTTATATACTATTTACAAAGCGTCGTGCATACAACCAGAACAGGTACTCACAAGAAGCCCGGATGTGTATTATGGCAAGCTCCATCGTTATGGCATAAACCAGCTTGGCATTGTGGTGGTGGACGCCATACCGGACAAGTGCATTCATCCTTCGATTGAGCATTCACGCCAACAAGTACTGTGTCATTCGCTGAGACAACCACTCCATCCTACAAGAGGAGGTTTTGAACCAAAGATGACGGTTCGGAAAGAAAAAGCGGTCGGAGTAGCACTTACGAAGTCTGCGGTGTTGACTGTTTGACAACCGGAGTCACAGAATGTGAATTTGCACATGTCAATTCCAACGCCAACAATCGTTGCTCCCAGTTTATTCTGCAGATCGTAACGATTCGCTGAGATCAAACCGTTGAGTTGTGTGGAATCTCTGAAAATGAGCGGATTGTGCAACTAGACACAAAAAATATCCGAATAGAAAAATGAGAGAAGTCAATTGAAAAAATAAAGAAAAAGAAAATTTACCTGTATGGTGAACCATGTGCTGAGAAACGGACATTGATCACAGGTACAACACGATTTTGTAACGTGGCGGTATCAGCCTACAAAATTCATTTTTAGAGGTGCGGATTCGCCCAGGTACGCAAATAATTAATAGTTGCTTTAGCAAGAATTTTTTCCAACTTTACCGATAGATTATTATAAAAAAATATCGATTTTCATAATAATTTAATTATGCAAATAATCTCACCTGAACAGAGAACACATCAAGAACAACATTTCCGCCCATGTATTTGACCATTTCTTGAGTGAAAATGCTCATCAGACTTCTACCATTGGCATCTGCCCGGATGAAATCTTCTGGGGATTGCAAACTCGAATCGTCAGCAAGAAGTAGCTGCACAGAACCCTAAAAATCCACTGTACATAGATACGCAATGCAAAAAAAGCCGACAGTCGTCGTGTAGAGATCACCCACCTGGTTGGCGAAGGCTATTTCAGGTACGAGGAGCACATTGACAACCACATAACCGACAGCATTCTCATTTCGTCGGTTGTCGTGCACATTTGATGACATGTGGTACGTTCCAGGTGGCATGTTCGCATCCATCGTAATCTAGAAGACGAGAATTTCACAATGGAAAAGAATGTGCAAATAACCATCCAAAAAGAAAACTTAATTGCTGTATAATTGCTTACCTCTCCCTGTGGTGACAATTCAAAACCGGGTAGAGACTCTTTCCATGTAAATGTTTTGTCTCCAAGGTCCCAATCATCCAAATCTTCTACGTAAACTCTACCAATCTGCGTCTTTTTTAGTTTACCAAGGTAGGAATTTACAGTAATCGTCATCTTTCCGTCGTGCATAGGATTGTCATTCTAAAAACGACAGAATACAAACATAGCCGGGTCTCATTGTTATGTAACTGTTTACACAAAAGCTTATCGTTAAAAAAAGTCGAAAAAGATACCATGGCGCATGTACAAAAAACCTCTATCCTTTCTAACCTTCGTTTCGATACCCCTCCGCTAATCGCATTTTTGGTGACGGCCTCACAAAAATCAAACCAAACAGGCTTTTATAGAAGGCAATTGCACTGTTACAAATGTCTCAGCAAAGGCAAAGCGATGTAAGACATAGATAATCTTTTTATTACTCGGCGCAGAAAAGAAACTTGCACTCGCAGCGCTGACATAAGTGACACATAAATGACTTTCACAAACGGAAGAGGGAAACAAGAATCATTTCTTTTCAAAACCAAAAAAATGAAACACTAATGTTTTTATCAAGAAAAGTACTCTTCTGCAGAACCAGCAATAATTTCCTCAACCAGTCATGAACCTTCCCACTTCGGAAAACTGCACATTCCACCGCGCTGGTCTACTGACCATTTAGTAAACGAAGATAGTGATCAGCCATGCAATCCACTCCTTCGCCTGACAATCTAACCCTTATCGCGACCTGTCCATCCTAATTAGGTGCATAACATTAACCCCACTTCGCTTATGAATGGCCCGAACGGATGCAACTCTTCGCCAAGAATGACCTGGTCCCCGCTCTCTGCAAACAATATTCGCTAATAAATGTGGGGCGGGTGAGAGCAGAGCGCAAAGCCCTGCAAACACGCAAACGTATTTCAACGCGCATCTCACAGCAATCCAGCGTTTCGACTTCACGACGATCGACGACGACGATCAAATCGCGCCGCCGTGACAGTTGATTCACGAGAACATTGTTGGTCGCAGAGCTCGCTTTCCGTCGCAGCAGGGGGTACCATCTCAGTTACCTCGACAAACACAATGGGCTTTTTTTTTTCAAACCGGCCGCATCCCTTCACAGAGGGGACCTTCACAGTCGGGCAAACCACCTCAAAGCCGCCGCGCGGCGACGCAATAATCGTTACGGATTAGTAGGCCCAATTTTTGCGGATTTGTGAGGGAATTCCGAAAGGCTGGTCGCGACCGTCAAAAGGTGGAGGGCTGAGATTAGGAGCGGACGGCTTATGCTGCCTGTCCCCTAGCTGGCGCGCTCACTTACGAGCCAAACGAGTACGGTGCGTAGACATGCAGGAGACTACGCGTGACGTCATCGATCGTACAATGACATGCTAATAAGGCATGGGATGTGACAGATGAGGACGATCATGTATGCAAAAAGCATTCGATCAGGTATTCGCAGAAGAGTCACCACGAAAGGGACTGTTGGGTGAATCATCATAAGAACAAAAAAAGCCAAATTCTTACATTCCTGTCCCAGCAATATACTGCGTATGTGAAACTATTCGATAACTAATTGGGGGGGGGGCCAATCATAAAATTATATTCAAAAAAGGTTCAATAACTTGTGAAAAAACAAGATTTCCTTGAACAAGTGTTCCCAACAAAGAAATGCCTTAGATGAATTGCCTTTCAAACACACCTCATCTCCAATAATGACATAAACGGATGCATGATTGGTTTTATCGGCGCGATCCGTTAAAATCAGTGGAATTTCGAGAATTTTGCCTGGTGTAGGTGCCTCCCGATCGAAAGATACTAATGGTCTAATCGTCATCGATCCATTTCCACCATCTCCGTCTGAAACGATACGAGATTCGGGGAAAGTGCAGTTAAGTATGAGAATTCGTAACAACAACAAATTTCGTACGGGCATCAAATGTGACGCTCAAGTATTCTCCGTATTTCCACTTGTTTCGATCAAGCTGCATATTGAATGGTGGTCCATATTCACTAAAAAGCAAAAAATACAAAAACAGAACCAAATATAAATTCAAAAACTTCCAGACACAAAAGAAATGGCATCACTTACGGTGAGTCCTTGTCAGTACATCGAATTTCACATGTGCCTTGCCGATCGACTGGTGTATTCTCAGGAAACACACAAGGTTTGGGAACAGTATAAGGTTCAGGCCCGTTATCGTTAACATCGCGTAAGTAGACGGCTACTAACTGAGTTCCAACATTGCCGGCTGGAAAAGAGAAAGAATATATATAAATCGAAATCAAAAAAGCTCAAAACATTGTTTCGATTATATGCAGCATATTGCTGCTTACTTACCGGCGTCAAACGCCTCAATAATCAGCTTGTAGCTACTGATGTCTTCTCGATCCAATTTTTGAGCAACACGTAATGTTCCATCTTGATCTATTGTAAACTGCCGTTTCGGATCAGACTGTCGATTAATTCGGAACCTAAAGCGTTAACTGGCATTAGCGACATCCTCTTGACTAATTACATTATGCTAATTCAGGTTGGACCGGAAAAGATCTGCGCAGCTGTCAAAGCCGACAGTTATGCAACACAGCCCATCATTTCTGCTCGGTGCTAATCTACAGCACCAGATGTTGGCGACTACACTCATAAACATTTTCTCGCTTTCGCTATCGCGGTCAACACCGAACTATGATGCCATCTGTACAAGCTTAACTATGCAGCGCGAGAGTTTGAATTTATGCTAGCGATAAGCGCAGGAAATCGTAAATTGATCAAAACAAGGTTGCGCTCCAGGAAATCAAAACCAAAATCTGATGCGTTTTCAACAATTTTGACAATTTACAAACTAAAATTTTTACTCAAAGTTACTCATCTTATGCTCAAAATAATGATGTTTACATCATTCTTTCCTTACTGAGATGTTCCGGGAAAGGTTTGTGAATTCTTTTATTCGAAAGGGCAGGAACGAAATAGAGTTTGGTAGCTTTTCTATCAAACTGATTTTTATTATTCCTTTTCATTACTACTGATGGATTTGGAGGACCACTAAATCTACAGAAAAAGAACGACATGATTTTATTTCCAGAAAAATCCAAACCTCAAAGCCCTACCACTTCCAATGAGCGATGGAATTTCATCAAGATAAATCCCAACCCGCACGGAACAGTGGAACAATCTATTTCGGCATAGGACGACGTTGACCTTGTTCAGCACAGATGAAAGCGCCATACCGACCCGTACAGTCTCCACTCAAGGACACTCGAACATTTTGAGAGGGACTTTAACAGTTCGCGACCATACGCGGCTTATTGTATGGTGCACATGGAAGCAGGCTAACTAGCCGCCGCTCTTCTCGCCTCTCGGGAAGTACTCAAACCTCGTTTAGCGCCCACTATGGATGCTATCTATCCAATGCATTCTCACGGCCGATACTTCTTCCTCTAGAGAGCGAGTGAAAAGAGTTTGCGAGAGAGACGGCGCAACACACTATGGCCCTGCGATTGAAACGCACAAGCAATATATTATGGCTCTTCTCACGAAGCAGCCAGCGCCACTATTGTGTAAGAAGAGAGAAATGCTGAAGAGACCAGGGAAAATAATCGCGCCATCAACGCGACCTCACGTATGGTGACAGGTAACAATTACCCCTTACGCGGAGATGCCAATTACGGTGAGTATTTCCATCCACACATGGTGCTCATATTTCCCATGCTCTAAGCGTACTGTAGTGAGATATTTGAATTCACCATTTATGTAATGACCACGCATTGTACAAATAGTGAGGGAAACGATGAACGAGGCGCACTTCAGGTGTGAGGTGAGCGATTGAGTTACTCGACGACCCAAATAGAGCACACCTGCACCAGCACATATTGCACATCCCCGAGTGCTCTCGGTAAGCAAACTATACAAATGCATGTTCCCAAGAATTCCGTTCGAATGCGTTCACGCATAGCGATGATTATCGTCAAGGCTGACGCGAGTACCACCAAGTGTTTTGGAGATGATCGTCCCTGACGAGTACACCCTCTTTGTTCCCACACAACGGCTCGTCCCTCTCGGACAGTAATTACAGTACCCAACTACCCAGTAAATATGCTTGGATGAGTTTACAGCTTTCAATAAGGCGGTACAGGCACATAAAGATAATTCTTATTTCTCCAATTCCTCACAAAGAGTTGGGTTCAACACGTGCATTGGAACGTTAGAAGATGGGTAGAAGAAATCCTAAACTCTCTGATGGATTTTCGAGTTGTGCTGATATTGAAGGCACAAATGCTGTCTGGATTGTTCTTTCTCCACCCGAATGGGAAGGAGGGACGAAGGGTGGAGATAGGACATTTAAGAAAGCATTTGTGCCGTTTCACCATTACAGGCCCAAAAATCATCAGAAAGTTCAGAACTTCTCTTACGACTTCCAGCGTTCCAACGCACGTGTTGAGGACTCTTTGTAAGGGATAGGTACCCCTTCGTTCTCCCGAACCAAAGCCAAAGTAAACACAAAAGGCCGTCAAAAACGATAGCAAACAACGTGAGGGTATCGTCCCCATACGATTACTCTTCTCGCCTAGGTGAACGTTCCATTACCGGTGTTCCCCACACATCTGCGAACGAAAGATCCGCTGTGAGATTCGACCAAGCGATATAGGTCAGGCTCAGCTGGAGGTTGGCGCAGTAAATGACTAATCCCTATCTAGGAAAACGAACACAGAATTACCCGCATTCCGTGCGTTCGCCGTCTATAAAACGGCCAAACTCATCAACACACAAAGTTGGTCTATGCTACACCGCTAATTAGTATCAGAGGATTCTAGTAAGGGTCGTAGACCGTAGAGTCCCACTAATGAAGTAGAAACGGAAATGGCGAACGGCTACATTCTATGCGTCATTCCAACGATAATTATCACTGAGCTAAATGACCAACGCAGATTGAAAGTACAATGTGCTTGCACTATTGCTGAAAGGGGTTGTAATATGACCAATGTGGAGAAGCCAGAAAGCATTCAGGGCTGTTTGTTTATTTTCCAGGTCGGCGAGTAATTTTTGCGCTGCACACGTGAAAACAACACCCCGTATTGCCGCCGAGTGCTTCGTGAACCTCTTCCTACACATTCCAGCAGGCACGTTACGACTCTTCAGAATGAACAATGGTCCCGAACTCAAAAACTTTACAAATACCCAAGTTCATTGATCAATTCAGCCCCGTCCTCCAGCTCTGACTCATCCATCTCCAGCGTATCTTATCGTCATTGTGACAGATGCTGTACAAACGTGATGATTCACCTTGCGCCTACAACAACGACCATTCCCCCGTAGCGCTTAGTCTTTATTCCTCAGAAGTACGGGGCAAAGCGCAATGCAGTAATCGATGATGTGCCAGCGGCGAAAAAAAAGGGGAGCCCCACGCTAAGCCTCAATAAGAATGCAATCAGTCGGAGTTAGGAATGACATTTGGCACCTCGTGTAGCGAGAGAAAATCGTTCAAAACTTCGCTAAAAGTGTCCGATTACGTGGATGTGGTTGATCGTTAAAATCGGGCGGCGACAATGCGATCAGAATTGAATAGCGATAATCGTATCAGTTTGAATGACCGAGATGGAGCGACTAATAAAAGTACATTTTTCTTATATAAAGTTGGATCAAAAGCCTGCTGTACAGTTTTCACTGTATTCGTTTGCACAGCCCGCTTAAAAAAGAAAACTGTGAAAAAAAACTATACGCTGGAAAAAGAGAGTCAATTGAGGCTGCAAGTTAGTACCAAATTTACTGAGTAAAGCTCGTCAAATTTTAAATAAGAAGGGGAAGCAAAGGTAAAATAAATAAAGGACAGAAAAGGTATGAAAATAAAGTTGAGAATTTTCTAAAACTTACGTGTAATTGAACCTTGGCAAACTGGGATCATGAGCTTTGAAAGTGTCAAGCACTGTTCCGATAGCTGTATCCTCACTGATGTTTTTCATCACAAATACTTGAATAGCGCGTTCTTGTGGTGAAACATAGGAGGAAAATCGCGATTTTGCCAGTGAAGTATCCAATCCGAATGGCAGCGATAAGTCGCTGATGGCCGCGACATGGGGTAAAGCCACAAGGGCAAGAACAGCTAGGGTAAGCCAGACCCGGGGAACTCTCTTACCTTGCATGGTCGTTGGCATCACGATCGGAGACGTTGAATCTGGCGACGACAGTGTAGCGCGGGACGTCTTCGAAGATTCGGACTTCCGCAGGACCGACGATGTCGGGTGCGTGATCGTTTTCGTCGACGAGATGTACGAAAATGTTACTGGTGGCGTCGTGAAGTCCGTCACTAACTCGTACTTGAAGTCGAAATCCGTCGCGTTGTGACGGGTCCTCGTAGTCGAGTGGCTGTCAAAATACGATTTACGACCAAGTATGGGTACTAAGAGAGTTCCTAAAGGGTCTGGCTTATGGATCGAGGATTTTCGTTTGAATGTGAAAGACATGCACAGCAGTGAATAAAGAGATGAGCCCGGCAGTGGAATGGGCAAGGCGCGGCCTGGGGCCGATATGGAGGTGAGTGCCTGAAATACACGACATGCAGCTACACAACACATTCAAGGAGCGATATAAGCAATTCGAGGATGAGTTCTGGACGCGAAAGTCGAAAACGACCAACACTAAGAGATTCGAAGCAGCAGCAAAACAGCAAAGCCAACGACGCGAAGAGACGCAATGCAGAGACTGGTGCTAATTAGGCGGAAACACGGCGTTTTTGGCTCACGAAATGGGATTTGTAGATGGTTTCGCGTGGAAACAGTTTACTGAAATGGTTTGAAGCCAACAAGTCGTGACGGGGGATTAATCATGAAAAAATGGCGGGAAAGAACATTGTCTTTGAATGTAGGCAACACAGAAGGCGTTTGTCTTCTCTGATAAGGAAAAGGTCAGCATAGACAAAGTGCAACAAAAGGATGCAAAAGGAAAATGTATACAAATTCTGGGAGATGCAGCTCAACTGCACATTTCCGACTTTTGTTTAAAAAAAACAAGTGCAAAACAACTGCATCAAATGAGAGTACAGGTACAAAAAAGTTATATTGTTTTTTCCGACTATTAGATAACTAATCAAAAAAAAACAAGCGCAAAACAGTTGTAAGCAGGGTTCTAGAAGTAAACTATGCAAGAAAACTGAAAAAAAGGAACTGTTTTTCAAAAAAGAAACCTGATTGACGAAAAGTCACCATAAAAGCTGTTGTAGACTGCACATAAACGCTAGTATGGATTGATCGACGAGAGAAAAAAGAGAAGGAAAAAAGATCTCTACTAGATGAAGTTCAAAACTGTCGTATTGATTGAACTACATGTGCGAAGTGCACACGCGGCAACATTCAGGCGTTCAAACAGGTTCCAGGATATCTACGCAATACATTATCCAATAAGTCTAGCAAACTGGAAGCCAATGGAGGAACGACGGGTTTGAGGATGTTGTTTGTATATGGTTTAGCGAGTAATAAGGAAAAAGAAGCGCGAAATACCAGCAAAATAGCAGAGTTCACCAACACTGCTGCGAATTTGGTGCGGTTTGAGGACGCGACCTTTGCGTACGATCGTCAGACAAGTACCAGAAAGGTCAAAAACATAACATTCAGGCAGTGACGAGCAGGGAGAAGGCCGAATATAGCCAGGCATCGGGAGATGCGGGGAGGTGGTGGAGGTGTGCGACGCACGCAGGCAGCCGCAGCGCGAGGAGGTAGTCCGCGCATCGCGGGGTGTGCAGACAGAAAACGACTAGTGATCGTCCACTTACGTGGTTGGCGGAGGAGACGCAGACATGACGGCTCCGCCTCAATCGGCTAAGGTGTGCCAACATGGTCCAGCCGTAAAGGTCAGTCGGGGTGGAAAGTGGGGGTGCAAGGAAACAGAGTGGTCCGAGGAAGGAAAATTGGCTTCGTGCCAAGTTTTCCTTCAAGTCTTGTTTGTTCCGGAGCGCGCTAAGGAGATGCGCTGAATTTGTGTAGATGTTTTGAAGCGACTCTAACGAAATCCAAACCACGAAAACAGCAACAGCAGCTGAGGAAACGTAAGGTGGGAGTAACATGAACGACTTGGCGAGAACAACGACGACGCAGACGGCTGGCTGCTGCGTCGCTCGTAAATGCGACTCCGCAAAAAAAGCAAAATCGCGCTCGGCGGCGAGTTCGCAGCAGTGCGCGCCGCGTTGCGACGACGTCGCAGGCCGACCTGCTGCTGATGCAGCCGGCTGCAACCGTCGAAAGAACGTGTGCACTTTGCGGGCAGAGTGTTTTTTTCGATTTGAGGATGCCGATGCAGGAGGCCGCGGTGAGCTGCTTGCGGCTAACGAGTAACGTGAAATTTTAATTGAGAAAGTGCTGCTGCTGCGTAAGCAAGGGAGAAGAGGCTAATGCTACGCGAGCTATTCTTCCAAAATTAGCAACAAAATATCATCCATTTTCTTAGGGATGTTGAGAACGCCAGCACTCTTGTAACTAACAAGTTAAAACATGTGCTCTGGCTCGGTTTATTCATAGTTTACTACGCTGAACTGGGGAAAGAACAAGTCCGAGCTTGTTAGACAGAGAGGCGCGGCGTTCTCGAATCTTTAATTATCAGATAGAAAGAGATTTTGTCTGATTAGAGTCTTTTCCAAGTTGGGATCTTTCAAACGATTTGCGTGTAGAGGGCTCTTTACCAGTTCAAGAGAGTATTTTACTACTGTTTCATGCTTGCCGTCAAACTCGATGGTGTAATTGCACTAAACTTTAAATTTTGGAATGCTACTTTTACATCTGGTGCGTTTTAGTTTCACTCATACCACCAAAATAAATGGTTTTATAGCGAAAAGAAAAACAGCTGTTAAAGCATTTCGTACGGGCTTTAGGATCTGCGAGAAATTCAGTGTGGTGCAAGTGCACCAAATTACTCGACTTTGACGGCGAATATGTGTACGAGTTTTTCTGATGTCAATTTTCTCCACGAAAATTTTGCGGACTTATGGAAAAAAACTGCAAACGGTGTATTTTTCGATTATAACGAGACTCGCACTTTACAATACGCTGGAATTTGCGAGATTGGTAAAAACAGAAAATCAACACTATTGTTTATATATGTCGTCGATAAAAAGAAAATCGTATCATTTTGAGACAAATAATAAATGGAAATATGAGAATACCCACGCCTAACGATTGCAATTACACGATAGACAATTCTCGTGCAAAAATAGCTGCAGCATAAAAATCTCGCCCAGCTGTGTTGCGAGAACTATAGTGAGAGCGTCGAAGTAAAAACTCGTCCAAAATGACACTACAAAGTGGATGGTGCTTGAGGGGCCAGAGTGCACAAGAGAACGGATGTTGCAAGAAAACCGAGTCAAGCGTGAACTCGTCCATGATTCATTTGGTTTTTGAGTATTTGAGGATGTGATGAGGATCAGTAAAAGTTAAGTAAACGATTAGTACAGTATTTGCTCAAAGGGTGTGAGCCATGATGCTGCAAACATCCTTATTTTTCTTTTGTAAAAGCGAATCATACTTACGAAATGTACAGAAATGGAGTGACATTGTACCGAATAACTCTTACAAACCAAGCGGGAATTTTTCAAAAAGAACTTTGAAAAACAAAAAAGTGGATAAAAAAAATTCAGGATTGAAACGGGCGTTTATTGACGTGACCAAGTAAACATTAGTGTTTGCACTTTGAAATTTGCAAAATTTACAAGGAAAATTCTCAGTTGTTTTTGACAAGCACCGCTATCTCAATCTCTTACTTGACAACTGTCACAGATTTTATCTGCCTGCAGCGTAATCTTACAAATTTTTCGAATTTTTTGAAAATTTTTTAAAAAAGTGGAGAAGTACTATCAAAGAAGTTTTATGATTGATAACACTAATGCTCATCAAAAAAGAAAAAGGAAAGGAAGATGAATCATTTCAGGTAAGTCAGAAACTTTTGGAAGTCTACCCGCTACACGTTACCTCGTAGGACAAAACAAACATAGACCCCACTAAGGCCACAATCGGACATCCTCGCCACTATTGACCCATGTCCATAAATGCGGAACGTATTGTTTGACTTTGTGCCAGGTTTGCTGTTATTTCCATTCCGATTAATTTAGGTAATCAAATAAAAGTTTCATATACGGCATCGCTGAAGTGCTTTTGTGAGTAGTACCAACTTGGAATTTCGAGATATGAAATTGCAGCTGCTAGTAAACTAATTTCTCAAGCAATTCTAACAAAATTCTGCATATGAGATGGAAAATAATACTTTTTGAAATGCAAAAGCCCACCTACGATTGAAACTAGGAGGACACTGCGTGGAATGAACTAACCGCAATCAAGATAATGTCCCACTCGTTGCTAATGATAAGTGAACTGCAAACAAATAGTGCAGTTTAGCACTTGCAGCAGCTTAACCAATATTTAACATGATGTCGAAGTTTCAAACTGGTGTTTTGAGAGCGGGAGGAGGGAGCAAAGAGAAAAAAAGCAAGCTGACAAGATTTACACAGCAAGAATTTGATTACTTAAACAATGAAATCTGAAACTTTCTTGTTCCGAAGCCCCTGAGAAGATTGCGGAAGCGATGACAAGTGAGGCCATACTGTTTTTTCAAGTATACTCTGAACATTCCAAATCCTAGTATGTGCGATTGCACACGCTGTACACATTGCGCGTGCCGAATTCGGTAATTATAAGAACCGTATTTGCGTTTAATTACTATTCAAGCGTCTTTTTCTTGTTTTTTTTTACTTTGGAAGCATCAAGATAATCTTGTGTAAGTGACGAAACATTTGTGCAAAATGGCAAAAAATTCACTGTATGCAGTCGCACATCTTGGAATTTGAAGTGATAATACTGCAAATTACTGTACAGATGAAACAGTAAGCAAAGTCCACAAAAACGGAAAGGAAGCCCACCCAAAACTCACTCTTTCCCGATCCTCAAAAGTTCACAACTGAACAATAATTGGGTCTTGTCGTCAAAAAACCGAACATTTCGAATGCACCTTTATACAAGGAGGTGAATAGTGCAACCACTTCACTACTTTGTGTTCGTCCCTCTCAAACTCTAAGCCAAAAATAGCCCGGCGACCTTACCCTGGCTCCTTCTCTCTCTTTCCTCACTACAAGTGGTTGGTATTGAAAGGGGGGGGGGGGAGAGAGAAGGGGTGTATATCGGTTGTTGAGTGCATGGAGAACGGAGTGAGGAAGTGGGACTAGTCGCATTACTATGGAAATTGCATGATGCAGAAAATTACGACCGACGACGACGAGGAGCGGACGAGCTCACTTCTTCCCTCTCTCGACATTAGATAATATTACGAAAGTATACCCATAGTGGGTAAGTAATAACCGACAATGGGAAGTAGCGGGAATACCAGCAATT